GCCTACGTGATGAAATAGTTCAAAGTAAACTAAGTGCTTTTTTATCACACCGCTATAGGTGCTTAACATATTTACTTCTACTGCAATGAGTTTAAACCGATTTTTCCGTCGGCAGAGCTTATATCTTACCCAACAAAATTAATATTTTAATAAATAAATATCTATCCTAAGTTATCACGCAAGTCACAGAGCAATAATAGATTGTGATGAGAATAACACACGACTCTTAGCTCAAAAGAATCATTGCATATATGTAAGAATTTTAAGCCCTCTTGAATCCGATATATTTATTTGATCAATGCATCATCATCATCAATCCACCATAAAATACAAACATAAATTTTTTTCTAATTTTTTAAATTTATAACATGTACAGACATATGATAAACTAAAATCTCTATAACTCCGTTTTTTCCTAATTTTTTCAATTTATAGTATGTACATACAGATATGGTTAACTAAAATCTCAATAACTCCTTTTTACAAAGAATTTATTATTGGAAAAAATATTTTTACAACAAAGCGATATTAACCGTTCAATAAATTGATATTTATAAGGGAGATCCAACCCAACTATCAGGGTGATCTTAAATGTGATTTCATAAAACAAATAAGAAAGGGAAGGGACAGCCCGACCAAAGGCTTACAGAAAAATGCACTTTATTCCTTGACGAAACCATCAGCTTCCAAATGTAAAGTGACTTGCATAAGTTGACACACCTCCGGCTTGGTATTTACCCCTATTATGTATGGGGTACGTTTTGTAGGTCAGGTGACACAGGTGACACTGAATGGGAATAGACGGTCAGCCGGGTCACGTTCCCTGCAAATCCCCCAATAATAGGGTTTGCGCGGACTAGAACTGACCTTGGCTATAGCATTCAATATAGTATGCACTCGTAATTTGTGTTCATCAGGGGTTTCGGTACAGAAAATCAATATCACTGCAATGGCCATCGGCAATTGACAACGGACAATGATTGAATGGGAGGGATAATGGGGCCGCCTAGTGTCTAGGCAACATCCGAATAGCATTTGTACAACTTCTGCCATAAACTATGCAAATCTGCTGTCTCCCGGGATATTTCCCATTCGGCAAATGTGGACTACATTCTGGCAGCCAATTTAATTAGTTGGCAAGCAAACATTTGGGTAATCACCGGATAAATAGTTTATTTAGCTACATTTGGTTACGAAGGTTGGATTAAAGCTCTGTAAATTAAGTTAACACAAATTGTGCCACAAAATGTTATTGAATTTAATCAAATTAAATAGACCAGGATTTCTAATTCTTCACTGATTGTTGCAAACATATTTATATTTTTATTACTGATATATTTATTTTTTTTTTAAGTCTTTCTAAAGTCTTTGTATTCGAGAGTGACTAAAAAATCTTTTCGGTTAAGACCGAACTTAAGCGGAAATTAAATCACTAAAACAAAAAAAAAATGAATAGTCAGAAAAAAATTATCTGAAAAACATTATTTGAGTAACTAGTATTATTATTTATTGTGTCCAACAAATTTTTGTCAGTAAATTACAGTTATCTACATTGAGTCGCCGTAAGAGCTTTTCAATCAATTTATTTATTCTTATACCAAAAATGTATTTCCGGCTATAAAGCTTTAGTGGAAATAAAATTAGTTTTAAATACAATAATCAGAGACCGTTATCAATTTTAGCAGGGACCAAAAATATAAGTTTTTTATTATTATATATGAAACACAATTGATATAACATTTTTTAAGAATGTTATTAGATTATTTTGATGCAATAAGCTTTCATCCACCGCTTTTTACATTTAAGGTTTAAAAAAACATTATGTTTTACGGCTTGGAAATATGGAGTGTAACAATATAATATGTTATGTAAATTATATAAATAATAACTATGTTTTAACCAATATCTCTAATAATCTATCTACTTATTAATCATGGTTTTAAAGCTAAAGATAAATCAACAGAATCGAGTCTTTCCTATAATCGGATTAACGCTGATCGCGACTGATGACCAATAACACAACCATTTTATATCCTTCGATCGGTGGCACACTTCAGCCTCATGATGCGGATCATTAAATGCGAACAAGATAATAGAAACGGACTTTGGGCGTCCCGTAGTCATTCGAATTCTGTGTGGGTGGAAAAGAGGGCATGGCCATGATTTATGGGGTGACCAAGGTGAGTACTATGTGTATATAATTCGGCTGATGACATTACTCATCTAGGAGCGAGACCGAGACAAACAAACAATGGCGGTGGGTGACCGCCCTCTGATAACGGAGTCTCTCGGACCGCTTTGTAAACATTCTTAATTGTATTTATAGCCACCGATCGGTAATCTTCATCAACTCCCCACTATAAATACAGAAAAGACAGTTTCCGCATGCGCGAGAGATCCACTTGGCAACAGTGCCATCGATCAATAAACACTTACCAGCAATAAATCAGATGGACGAAATTGAAAACATTTCACAATAAGTGCCATAATTTCTGTCCCCAGATTCGTGTCGATCTGATTACCGAAATCACTTGTCTGGAGAAGTACTATATATGGAGGCAGCGTGCTTCCCTGTCTGTTCGATTGGACTAATTAACTCAAATACTAAAGAAATCAACACGAAATTCCGGATGATTGCTTTAATCTTCGGCTCCAAAGTTCATTGTCTGGGCCAAGGGAATCATTGTTTATTATTTGTTTTCTGTAGTCGAATTAAATGACAATGCCCTGGATACTAAATTAACATGTAAATCAAAAATATAAGTTTACCTCTAGAAGAAATGTTTAAATTGATCAAAATATGCATAAGCTTTGATGCAATTGTAGTAAATGAATCAATAACAATTCCGATGATGTGATTAGCCTAATCAGCACTGCATTGTTTGTTTGCTTAGTATACTTCAAACTAGGTCTTCAAATATAGAAATAAAGATGGGCTCAAAAGTCGGCTTCCCATCTCCTAACTGAGATACTTTCATAACTTTCAGGATCTAGACCAGTTCACTGATACCTTTTTATCATTTTAATTAGGGCAGTTTTAATCTTAATGAATCAACCCATTCAAAATTCCCCTTAGATTATTTTCTGATTTGATTAGTTTTGAATGAATTGTATTGCGGGCTAATAACAGGGAATTGATTTTATTTACGTACTCAATCAGCGTGAGGGATCAAGGTTACTCCAAACGGTGATTTTTTAAATCGATTCTTAAGTCCCCTTATTACTTTGTTTTATATATTCAAAAAATTATTTATTGTTTATTTTATGGGTTGGGAAAAACGCCGACGGGGCTTCGGAAAATTACATACTGTTTTATTTAAATCATCTAGTGGAAACTTTTCATACCATCCATGACCTTGGACAGTATTAAGCTGTCACTTAAAGTGCGAAAAATAAAACAATTAAAAATTTCGGGGAATAACCGATGTCGATTCCAGGAATTGGATATGCAATTACAAATTCTGATGCATTGCTAATTAGTTATTGCAGTTTGAATGAGTGCGATTGAATGCACATAAGTAAACAACAAGTCTTCAAAAGGGTTCTGTAGATGATGATTGATGAGGTCATCCAGGGATTGGTGGTGGGGATGTTTTGGGCTCGAGCTTTCTTCAGTTTCCGTTCCCGGAAATCCCGATTTATTGCCGGAAGTAAGCACTGACCGAGACATTGCATAATGGAATTGCGATTCTGGGTTGGGATCACAATGATCGGTTGTAATCAGTTAGGCGCCCATGAAACCCCATTATCAGCAACATGATGTTTCACTAATTGACTGTGTCTACGCAACATTTATGAGCACTATGCGGGCATATATTCGTTCGATCGTCATAGAAATATAATGCAGTGAGCCGAGCTTCGAAGTTTAGAATGATCTCGGTAAACAATGTTGTCATAGTTCGTCCAGCTCTATTATATTATTATTAAACCCAAAAAACAAATTTTTAGTTTAATTAATTAATAAATTAAAATGAATTTCTTGTCGCCCATCTCCAGTGTTGGGGTGTACCTAAATTCTTGCACCTAGGTACACATTTTTGTTACCTTACCTATGTAAAGATTTGTATTTATCTTAAGGTTAGGTTTTAAAAAACTGAAATATTTTTATTTAATTTAGTTTTCAATTTAGTTTGATGCCACTATTTTCAATTTTTTTTGTTTTCGCAAAAAAAAAAACAGCTTAATGTCACTGCAACTTGAAAATAGGTAAACTTCACCGCGTAGACAATGATGTTTCTTTTAACATGTTTTTACAACCAGACTTTATGGTCAAAGCGTATGCAATTTATCATAACTCAACAGCAACTTCGGGAAAAACCTATTAACCTGACCATTATTTATTTTTAAACACATTTAATTATTAAATATGTTATTTATTCTTTTATTGTACTTTTTACCTTACCTAGATACTTAACAAATGGTGTATCTTTTACATAACCTATGTACCTTACCTAGATCCAAAAAACTAGTTTCTTTCTCAGCACTGCTCATCTCACACAATTTATATTTATTTAACGTTAAGCCGAATAAAAGAATATCATCAAGTTAAAAATCTAATTTTTTTAACTCAAAATATTAATAAACCAAAATATATTTTTTATTTATCCCAAAATATTTGGAAAATAAAAATGCACAAACTCATCTAATCAAGAAGGTCGGAATTTTATTGGGTCCTAAAATATAGATATACAATTGCACAGTCATGATCATAATGCGTGAAGTTCCTATATGCCATTATGTCGATCCCAAAAGTGTGTGCTTCGATTACCGAACCGAATTGTAAATACCAACCAATGTGATTACTTTTGTGGGAAAGGCCCACTCCTCCACAGCTAAAAAGCGAGTTCGAGCGAGATAGTGGCAGTACCTGGTATACGCCTATCAACTCAACCTTTATGTGTCACGAATGCTGCACGATCTCGGCACGATCTGTGCCTTAGCTTCGGATGGCGATGGCGATGGCCTGGCTTGTCCCCCAAGTATAAAAAGTAACGCTGGAGCCCCGATAGCTCCCAGTTGCGGGCTGCTCGGCTATAGCAAGTAATAAATCGAGAACTAAACAATTTCGTCGTGGTGTAGAGAAAGTATTATAGTTAACCAACGAAATGGCTCAGAAAGTAAGCACAAACATTCGATTGTTCGAATACAAAGTCTACGAAAAATCCTTCAAATACCAAGCACTAATCTGCGATCGAAATAAACATTGATACAAATAAGGCAATTACACTTCACGATGATTTATAACAGGTGGCTAAAGAAAAACACTCAATGTGAATTGAACCAATAAATCAATTTTAGGAAAGTGAAAAAGATTTAAATAAACTGATTCAGATATTATAATAAACGGTGTTTGCCCGCAAACTTAATTTATGTCAATGCCCCTGGCATTTGATTGAGCTATATGCGTTGTCCTTTTGTTAAAATGTGACTCGACTCTAAAGACTTGAACTCCATAAAACTCGTTCGATCTGGCTCAGATCGTATGTGTTTGGCTAGCGCCAGACTAAAGCGCATTGAACTGCTTTTGTCGCTCAATTGTGTCATAGCCGAAAATTCAATTAATGATTGTTTCAACTTTCGACTGATTACAGATATTCTGCATTATATTGATGGCGACTCTACTCGTACTCAGTGCCAATGCCCGACCTTCGGCGGGGGATGCAAAGGTGGACCCCAGCGAATATCACGGAAATCTCTCCGTGGAAACGGTGCTGAAAGTGCAGCAGTGCGAGAAGGACTCCAATGCAATGGAGCTGTGCATGAGGTGCGCCAAGGTGACCAAGTCGGATATCGTGTATCCTGTTTGCTGCAGCAACGACGATGGCATCAAGGACTGGTGCCGCGAATACGTGTACTACGGCAACGAGGAGGGCCAGGATTAGGAGACAAATTGTAGATTATGTCGTACTCCTGTATAGATTGGCTGTGATAACCCACTGTGTATTTATTTTAAATTATATTTAGGAATAAACAAGGCTAAATTAGCGTATTTGTGGTCTTTACCCTTTCCCAACTAAAACAGTCTTCATTTAATTTTGTACTTTTCTTTTATTTATTTTTCTCATCTCTTTTTTTTTTTTTGTCGAATTTGGTTTCGTAAATTCATTTTTTGCATTTTTAGAAAACTTTATAATAATTAAACATGTATAAAGAATATTGAAAAGTGATTTCGAAAAGAAAAATAAAATTGGCTTTCTCTGCGATACGAAAACTACTTTCAATTGGCAATCAAATTAATTGTATAAAGCAGGCATTTATCAATTAATTAATTAACGATTTACATTTATGGCGAGTTTGTTGAAAAATCGTTGAAAATAATAAGGTAAATAAAATTATAATCGGATAGTAGAAATACACATCCGTTCAAACTGTAGCGCGAAACATCGTTTTCGAGCGCTGGCGAACATGGAACTTGCACTACACGGGATATATATAAATGTATATAACAAACAAGGTACAACCTAGTAACGATTGTTTTTTTTTTTCTTTGTTCTTTTAATGGTTTTGCACTCGCTGCTGCTGCGGCGGCTGCTTTTCTTCATCTGCTTGGCATTTGATTTGTGGGGTTCTTTCTTTTTAACGTTGACTGAAAGCAACATTTAAATATTAAGTCGCGTGAAGAGTTCAACTTACCAGAATTCAAGCACGCTATTAAATTTATTTGTGGTTATATGTGTACTTTTAGTGTTTTAGTGAGTTTTGTTAGTTATTGAGAGGGGGGTTTGTCTTTGGCAGCTCGTTTTGGAAATCGGGGCGTGCTAAATGCAGATAGGAGCAGTCGGCATCCTCGCAGCGACCCATCAGATCGAAGGGGCAGATGGTGGCATGGACATCGAGGTGGCTTGAGAATGGAAAAACGGAGCAAATACATTTCGCCAGGCGACACATCGTACGATTCCCACTCACCTATTGTAGTTCCGGGACATGGGCGTTTCATATGCACGCAGATAGCTTTCCCTATATAGATCGTCAGCCTTCTCCTCTCGAAGCTCCCGCATTGTTGAAACCGTATAGGGTCCTGCAGCTTGTATGGGAACCTCTTCCGGTTTGTCCTGCGCCTGATCCTGAAAATAAACTCAACCGATTTGTTAGGGCGGGCATTTTTGAACCAACATATGGATTAAAGTGCTCAATACACTCAAAAATAACAGCGGAAATATCGCGTTGAATGAGGTTCTTAGCAATAGTTGAAGCAATATGTACAAATCGAAATCCACGCACATCTGGATTCTCTGTCCGTGTTTCAGGTTGATTTCCAATCTCAGGCCCCGCCTCCGTTTCAGCTTGATTCCCAGTCGCTGGATCTGCGGAAGGTTGAATAGGTTCTGAAAATGCAGGGTATTCCTGGGTATTCGCCTCCTTCAAGTCCTTTGGCTGCTCTGGCGCATCACTCTCCGTTTGCATTTTCTTCGATTCCGCTTCAATCACAGTATTTGGTTGACCGACCTCCGCTTCGGTCAACTTCTTAAGGTCATCGTACTTCACAATGGAATTGTAGAGACGAATCTCTCTAGTGAGTTGTGTAGATTTGCGAGTGATGGCCGCTTTGCCCTCGTCGAGTAACCTGCAAGGAAATCAAACCTATAATCGCATAGAACTCTCCCCCACACCCCTTATTTGATTTGGTTTGAGTAATCGCTTTGTTCCAGCTTTCCCACGCCGTTCTGGTTGCTGTTGTGGTTGATGGTGCTAGTACCTGTAGTCATCGCCCCTTAATCCACGGCCCAAGTCCACAGCTGCCGTATATAGCCTATGGCGTTTCTGCTTGAGTGATATGATGATCTCATGGCTGGCCTGAATCTCCGGCTGAATCCTCGCCAGTTTAAGTTCCTCCTGCTTGACCACCTGCTTCACAGTCTGCATTTCGGCATAGAGTTCCTTGAGCCGTTGTGAGCATCGCAGGCGTATCGCCTTCGACTTCTTGGCCTCTTCGACCATTTGCAGCGATTTGTCAAGATTAAGGAGCATGCTTCCTCTGCAAACATAATCAAGCATGAGTAATTTTAAGCTATACCTACACTAATATATACCCGATCTTGACAAAAGAATTCTCAAAGGCCTTCAGTCGACTCTCCTTGGACGGTTGATTCTGCTTGACTTTGGTCTTTGGTGCTTTTGTGTCTGCGGGTTTGGCTTGAGGTTTATCAACTGGTGTGATAGTCTTGATAGGATTGGTCATAGATTTAGTTGTACTTGCTGGAGCAGCCTTTCCTAGGTTTTGCACAGCTTTTGCCGTGATCGGCGGCGAATTCTTCGGAAGTGTTGGCTTTTCGACTGTGAGAGCCTTAATTGCGACCGCAGGAGCTGCAGCTTTTCCTGCCCGCACCCCTTTTTTTGCTCCAGCAATTGCATACGCTCGACCAAGCGGAGGTATTCCTTCTGCGATGCCACTGGCAAATGTCGAACAGCCTGCAAATAAATTACAATTATATAAGCAATCCTTTCAAACTGATGAAAACCAAACATACCACTGGCGTTGTTTTAGCCGGCTGTGTCTTAGAAGCTGTAATTGTTGGCTGCTTCTCGTTAATCTTGGCCTTCTCAGGAATTTTCTCCGGCACCGCCTCTGGTGAGTTTGTTACGGGAGCCTTGGATCTAGCTTGCTTCAGGAAATCATCGATCTTCTTCTCAAAGTATTCATTAATCACAGTTCGCCTGAGGTTGTTATTGGCACTGGAAGCCGTCTCTACAATCTCGGATATGGGAGTATTGGATCTGGTAGTGGAGCCACTGGCACTGCCCATGGCCAAACTCAAAGGACTGGCAATGTCCGTGTAAGTAGCATAGGCAAAGTTCGAACTCAGCTCCAGATCATCATCGCTGGCGGCTGACTCCTCTGCTAAGCTTATGATCAGCTTATTCACCTTGATGCTGGCTGGATCTACGGTGGTAATGAGGCGAGTGCTGGACGAAATCACAGTCTGGGCGTGCAGTGGAGCGCTGGGCTCCTTAATCATTAATGTTGTTGGCCGCTTGATGCTCAAACCTGAGCCAGATAACTCTTCGTTTGGCAGTTTTCGCTTGGTCGTTGTCTTTTTGTTAATCACCTTGTTGGGTTTGACAATTTTAATAATTTTGGTAGAAGGTGACGTAGGATTCTTTGCCTGTATAGTATGTTCAACAACTGGCTGTGGAGATTTTACATCTTCCCTGGGATTCGGATCAGCTTCCATCGGCATGGAGCAAGTTTCCTGGGGGATCGACTCCCCAACAGTCTCTTTGACGATTTCCTTAACTGCTTCTGCTTCTAGTTCAGTACTTTCTTCTGAAATCGGCTGCTGATCCTGCGACTGTTCTTCATCTTTTATTGCCAGTTCAGTGGGCTGGAAGCGCTTTACTGCGTTCTTAAGTATCTCTGGGCTTAGACCCGATTTCGATTGAGGCCCATTGACCCGCTTTTTGCTGGCTATGCTAGAAAGAAGCAACAAACGCAACTCTTCAGGATCGTCTGAGTCAATTTCGTTGTTTGGTTCCTCTTTAAGTTGGGCCACACGACCAAGTGCAAGTCCAGGCACAGGTGCAGAAACAGAATCAGGTACAGGAGCTGGAACAGTAGCTGCGACCAGAGCTGGACTAGTGGCTACGACCGGAGCAGGAACAGGGACTGGAACAGGAACAGAAACCAAGGCGGGTGCAACGAGCGGAGGAGGAGATCCTGGAGGAGGTGGAGGTGGCTTAATTGCCCGCAAATTGGACAGCAAAATGGCTCGCAGAGCACCCGCTTCATCGTCACTCGAATCGGGCTGGGATTGGTCGAGACCCCTCATATGCGTCTGTGAGTTTTCCATGGAAACGGACTGCATCTCCGTAATTGAACTTTGATTGGAATGCTGATCAACCAGATGCATGGCATCGCGGGCATCATCGTCCTCCAGATGCATGTGTGGAATGTGAAAAGGCGGCGGTGGCGGCGGTATTTCGTCGTCATCATCCTCGTAAGCTCTATGCTCTCCCCTAATCCGGTCGTCCATCTTCATATCATCCTCATCTTCATCGTCTATCACAATGGGTACCGAAACATTCGGCAGGTTGTTGGGCAAGAAGCAGCGCCAACTGCCACCTGCGTGGTACATGGAGTTCCAGTTGTTCGACCAAGGATTCCAGGCATCCTTATGCTGATCATCGCTGTCCGTCTCAGCCAGATCCATGTCCACGGGCTTAGTGTCCACGGCATAGTCTATTGAGTATCTTGGCGGACTTTGAACACGGTCTGGCGATGCTGCCGGACTGATCTCCATGAGGTCGTCGATGTCGTCGTCATTGGAAATGGCGGGATGCACACGATTGATCATGTCAGTGGGCGAGTAGGCACGCTCCGCATCGCGCTTTTTGCGCGCCAAGTGTTTTTTCAATATCGCAGATTTCAGGGCGATGAGTCGCAACTTGAGCTCAGCGGGATCTTCGCCCTGCGCCTGCTCTTGTTCGGGTTCCTCCTCTCCGCCATCGGAGAGTGGATGCAGTGGCGACAGCGGCAGTTCCTCCTCCTGCGGGAATTCCTTTCTGTACTTGGGACTGGGGGACTTGCGCATGCGGTACTGCAGTCGTTCCCTCAGGCTGTTTTTGTACTGACTTATGACATCCTGCCGCTCCTCCCTCGCTAATGCCACGCGCAGCTTTTCCCTGCTCAGTTTAAGCCTTTGCAGATCCATCTCGTCCTCATCGTTCTCAACATTTACGTCGTATTCGCCCAGCTCGCCATCCGTGGCGCTGTCCAGTGAATCTTGAAGCTGGTAGTTCTGCTGTTGACGATGATGGTAATGATTGGCCTGGTGGTGGTTGTGATACCCCTGCCGCCGTCTAGGCAGAGGCACAGGAGCAGGCGGCGAGACCTGTTTGTGGCGCCTGGCAAACGGGTTCCTGCGATAATCACTGGACACCGAATGATGGTGCCTTTTGCTCAGCTCCAGGCGGCGCACTTTGTGTTTGCGATGCTTGCGCTGAGTCTCGAACTCTTCCTCCGATTGGCTGGACACATCCGACAGGATGTAG